TGGTACAGACACCATAACCAATGAAAATGAGGCAGATTTGTAACAACGTTTACTTTGATTTTATGGTGTGAATGTTTGTTTCCATTACTATGATAAAAAAGTCTATAAAGAAATGTAGCTCCAACTGCTACAGTTTTTTTCTTCTCGAATCTTTTGCAAGCAAATTTGGTCTATATTTTTCAGCAATTGAGAAAAGAGATTTTGAAAACATAAGCGAGCACAGATCAACAATATTTGGAGAAGTTTTCCATAATAAGTTACTGTTCAATCCATCCAACTAGCGGATATTATAATACGCATCGCCAAGTCATGACAAATTTATTACTGGCAAAAAAATTTACAGAACTCACAAACCATTCGTGAATTACATAGAATAAAAAAATAAGAAGCAGAAATAAAGACGTGTCGCGATCAAAATATTTTTTTTATTAGTTTATTTTTCAATCATTCAATAAAGAAACGCAAAAAGTAGCAGCGGTACTTTGTGAATGTTATTGTGGGACAGGATTAGAAATTATTTTAGTAAATTGGCTATGTTGGACGGGTCATCATCTGAGTATTCCACTGTTTTAACTTGAAGTAGCAACTGAACTCATCTTTGTGTAACTCTGTTACATTACTAGTTTAAATTTAATCAAATTAAATCGAGTTTGTATCATTAATGTTTGTCCAAGAATTTATGCATAATATAGAAACTGAAGAGATTTTATATTCCAAAGGAATGTTTGCGCAATAAATTTTTTTTTCCTAGCGATCCTAGCAACAGAGCTAATTTACCAAGAGATCTTAAGGCTTCTCTTCTTTCCATTCGGTCAGTTCTCTAATCTGTATAGATATAGGTTTTTTTTTCTTTTTTGTTTGTTTTAAAAGACGTATTTGGGAAGAAGAAAATGGTCCTGAATAAATGCGCGAATGTTGTCAGGCTGATGTAACGTAACATTAAAAAAGACCATTCAGTTTTGGGAAATGACTGGATGTTGCTATTATTATAAGCTTTATGAATACGCTTCGATGCTTCGGACTTTTGTGAGCCCTGCAGAAACCGTATTTAAAGGAAGCTAGTGCTTCACTTGTCTTCGAGCAGACTAAATACTCTTCACGGAACTCCAATGATTCCCACATTGGCAGACGGGTACAAAACTGTGTTATGTCTCGTCTCCTAAACGAAAATGGTCTCTTCACAAATTTCGTTCCTAGTAAGTTCATTTCCTAATTGTATTTTATTCCACACGATACTTGATATCAATGCAGATATTAGTTATTACTAGAATATCTCGAAAAAAAGTGCATTTTATTTGAATTGCTTTATCATTTCAAGGAGCACAAATTTTATCATAAAATTTACTGCAAATACTCCAAAAAAATGTTCAAAAGTGGACTTACACAAACTTCATGTTACAGAAAAACGAAAGCGCAATTTTGCATGAAAGAAACAGAAAGAAAGAAATGAATGGAACACTGAAGCGGCTGAAATCAATTAGGAAGAAATGAATTAAAAAGACGTTGAGTTGGAATGATTTTTTAATAAAAAGTTCCATTGACTCCTGGATGAGTGCTTGAGCCTCTTTCCTAATATTGCATTTCTAATTTGCAGGAAAAAGCAACCCTTATGCAAGCAAACAAAATAAGAAAAATAAATGAAATTATGAAGCCAGGATGTGGACATCCAGAAAAAGTTGATTATAGTTCGTATTTCCTATAAGAGCAGAAAAGAATAATAGGGTTCAGTTCTAATCTACTGAGATTTTTTTTTTCTCTTCCTTACTTCCATCGAATAAAACTTGGTAGAAAAGCAATACTAACAATATCTTATTTTCTAAAAACGAAAAGGAAATGAATCTTATCAGAGATCTATTTAAGCCGAAAAAGTTAGTCAGTCAGTTGTTTCTTTAACCCGAATAGTTTTATTCGAGCCCTGCGAACAGTTGAAATTTGAACTGCAAATTAAAAGAATTTATAAAAGTGAAGCGACTGTAGTCGAGCAAGATTTTCATAAGAATTCTGAATTGTCCTGAATAAAATTCTTTACTCCACTCTCCTTTCTTCTTTAACTTTGTTCTCCGCACCATCAAAGTCTAAAGTGCTCCTATGCTTGTTTCTATATTTACGTTTTTATGTTCCAATAAGCTCGTTATTAAAATTTCTAATTACAAACGTCAAAAGCAAAAAATCCTAGTAATTGCTATTCGAATTTTCGTTAAAAGAATCAATTGATCTTACAAGTTATCACATTTTCTGCTTAATTATGAGGAAAATAGCAAAAAAAGATCAGGCCTATTTTGGAACATTTGTGAAATAAAAATTTATTAGAACATTCATTTGCGCATTTTTTGCCAAAATGTGCACTAATGATAAAATAAAGTGGTTAAAAAACAATTAACAGGAATGAATAATTTAGATATTTACAGTAGAGAAATGTATATTAAAAATTTTGTTTGAAATGCGAAACGATAAAAGTTGAACTTTGTTAAAATGATTCTTCTTAAATCGATAGCAATAATATTAAACAGTTAATAGTAAAAACACTTACAATCTTTTTTTTTTTTGTTTTTATCTTTTCTAAGCTTTGATATGAAACAGCTATACTATGATTACGTCCATTAACATTAGAGTAAAAAAAATTTGTTCATATGATGATCTCATCACCGCCTTTTACAATAATTTATATTACATGACTTGAGCAGAATGTGTTACAGCTAGTGACACTTTATTTTGCATCATTTTACTATAAATTCGATTCCATTGTTTTTTTACCAGATTTTCCACATTCATCACGAGTAAGCTCTTCCAGATTGATGAGTCGTTTTTTGAGAAAGCCGAAAGGCCTATGTATACGCCTTCTAAAGTAATATTTGATATCGCCATAATTGATAAAAAATCATCAGGAATCTTTGTGCTCAGATTTTGGTAAAAATTTGGAATTCGATAAAACGTTGTAATGCCTCTTCCTACCCTTTGCTTCTATTTTTATGGTGATTATAATTCTGTCCGCAATTTTCCAGTTCTGCAAGCTCAGGAATGAATTAAATTACAATCAGACAAAATGAAAATCCTGTAATTAAAATCCTAAAAATCTCTGCGGCCGATCCCTAGCACCTTTCACACTCTAGCTCGCGTAACTTCTACGCCAGTTCTAATACACTGCTTAAACTAGTAAATTTCTAAATTAGTTTTTAAAAATTTAGCTTCGATTTAACTTCTAAAAACTACTTATTAGAATAACTCTGAAAACAAATGGAATATTTCAAGAGAAATCAAGTCATGATACCTCAATTCTACGAATATTACTTGCATTTAAGCAATTTTTTAAAGTGACAAAATAGTAGGATAAGTGGGCTATGATTTCAACTTCTGTTGAAGGGGTTGAAAATAAAAGTCAGTGTTGCAACCAAGGAGAAAAGGAGAATTGGGGTGATAGTGTTCTTGACAGATGGGTAGTCAGAACTTTTCAGACAGGATGGTCAGAGCTTCTTACAGACTGTAAGAATTCCTATAACAATTTAAGTAGTGAATAAGAGCTGGAGTACAAATGGCTTTTGAACTAGAATACATGGATGGGCTTGCACAAAGATTGCCAAGACTTTGATTAGTTCAGTCTCAAAGCTTGAAGGGGAAAGTTTAAAAAGTAGGATGAATCCAATTTGCTGTATCTGTAAAGAAAATTAGTAAAATTTTTAATGAGCTAACTCATTTTTGCTGGAATTTCAATCACAGTGCATGTTTGCTTGCTTTATAAAGATTAGATAAGGTGCAAAAATTATCTCTTCATATCACTACTAATACCTTTGCTTTTCAACATGTAAATTGAGCAGCGTATAATAATAACAGATAATTAAATAGCAACAAATGAAAACGTAAAAAAATTCTTCCTTTACTCACATTATCGGTAGCATTTTTCCAATACTGTTTCAATGATTTGAGGAAAGCAAGGAATTTCTAAACTTGTATGTAACGCCCTGGTGATGTTGCCGAGCGTCAATTAAAAACAGCTGGATTTTTTTCAACTAACTCTCTTTTTTAAGTACTATTTGTGCGAGTGCTTTTATTTAGATTATTGCTAAACAATATCGTATCAAAATGATAAGCTAAACAACATCGTACCAAAATGAAAGCGTATAATATTTATTACATCATAAGCTTTATTGAAGTTCATCTTTAGAATTGAAGTGGATTTTTAAACTGAAGTTGATTTTTTAGACCTTTCCAAAAGCTCGTTTATGAAAAGTGGTTCACTACATAATCTATTACCTGTTTGTAGACGTATGCGCATGTGCGTGCGCGTCTGTACCAATCTCTCAATTTAAATTCTAAAATCAAGCTGAGTTCTAAAGAATGTCTTAATTCAGCAGAATTAATCACTAAAAACTTAAAAGTTTTTGATTGGACGTTCCACTAGGGAAAAATTTTTAGTGAAACAAATTCTTGACAGGTTTCAGTATAATGCCGCTCACTCAAACGAGGCTGTTCACGAAATCTAGTAAACTGCAATATTTAAAGGCAAGATTACAATTGATGCATCGTTATCGACTTATAAATTGAGTAAATTTTCATAATATGTGGCTCAAAGATTTGAAATTGTACAACAGTTTCGTAATCTAAGGACTATACAATCTGCTTCAAAAGTGCCTAACTCAGTAAGAAGTCATCCTCTGTAGAATTTTATCGTTATTTATAGTGTTGAGTGATCGCTGAAAGATGAACAATTATTAGCTAGTATCATTTCCCGAATTATTTCCGACACTTTCGAGTGGTTTAAATCATTTATTTCTTCATAGCACGATCTATGTCCTTTCTTTGTTTAGAAGAACTAAAATCATCCAGGTTTTTCAAATGCATACCAGAAGTGCTACATCCACAAATTCATTACTTTTAACTGCAAAGAAAATTTTTCTCGAGAAATGTGGGGAATATTTAGTTTGGAATAGATTTTACTACAGAAACTGGAATTCAGAGCGACGGATCAGTCAAACTAAGTATCCATAGCAAATCCATTTTACGACAAATGAGGATATATGGCACAAGTCACACGAGTTCTAAAATTGCGACTATATAAACTGTAACTGGACGAGAAACTCAATTTCGAAAGAAATGGGTCAGTGGAGAAGAAAAACAGGAAAAGGATTTGTAGCTTCGTTTCCGAATGGTGGCACTTTCCCAATAGGGGGTGTCGGTGTGTCTCCAGCATTGAAAAGGATTAAAAAAGAAAAGCTTCTTCAATTGGGCAATTGCTTACCCAACCAAGCGGAGCGCCATCAAAATATTTGCTTCAATTTGTGTATGGGCGCTTTTAGCTTGCGTTGCTTTTTGCTCTCTGTAGTTGTTTTCAGTGAAGAAAGAAAAGGGCACTACATGCAAAGTATAAGGATGACAAAATTTGTTGTGTTTTCCATCACTTACTGGAAATGTGATTTAATCTTCATTGTTAGCTACAAAATTTTTTAAAAACGACTTGTCGGTAAGGCAATTATACAATAAAATTCTATTGTAAAAAAGTTCAAAACGAATAAAGTGGGTATTACTGGTAACTAAATACTCGATTCTAAAGCACAAAATAGAAGACAATGAAATGCAAACTAGAATCTACAAACGATATGAATCAAGCAGTGAAAAATAAGGTTAATGGACTGTTCTGCGAAAGCGATAGTGGAATCAAAACTTGCTTCTCAGATTCTCAGTTTTCCCTATATGGAAAAGAGACTATTTAGGAAATCAGGAGCAGAACACCAAGTTATGTGCGACTTATTTCATTCAATTCACATATTTAAATTTTGAGGGAAAGAAAATACACAACATCATATACCTGAAATCTTACTGAGATTCAGCATAATTTATTGATTATACAAGTGTTTTTTAGTTTATCAAAAAAGAATAGTAATAGAGACAACACATACTTAAACTTATGTGATGGTGGCTATGAATTTGATTAAAATAAATTGTGCATGATATATAAAGGTTTTAATCAAAACTGTCGTTTACAGTGGATAAATAAACGGACAAATGAAAGGTAGGCGAGATGCACTGAACATTGATGATGCTGCAGAATGGCTGACATTCACATCAGTGACGCTGAATTTACAAATGGTTGTGACTAACTTTGGCAATCCAAGTATTGCCTGCATCTTTTGCTTCTAAGTACCAAAGACCTCAGCAGTGAGTATGCAATATTGTGAAAGGCCCACTTCACATTTCTGAATTTAAGGTCTTTTGTTCTCAGTAGGACTCGATCTTCATTATTCCTCCAAATTTCGAATTTTCCAAAATTTTAAAGTTCTGTTCTAAATACAACATCAAAAAACCCTATGAGCAAGGAGCAGATAGTCTTGAATTTTGTCGTCACATTTATAATTAATTGCTATGCGCTCTTTTGCGATTTCATGCTTTGTATCATGAAGGACAAAAGTTCAATGCTTATTACTATGGGTGGCGTCGTATAAGTGGAAGTTAGCACCTAACTATTTTGGAGAATTCTATTATTCCGTTAGCTGTTGATATTACCAAACATAAGTAACAAACGACTAAATAATACAATTAAAATTAAATAATGATAAATGATCAGTTTATCGTCTGTTTTTCTTCGTCACAAAACAGTTGAACACTTTTAGAATGTAAATCCTGACAACCTAAGCAAATGCCATGAATCATTGCTGACGGATCCTAAGCCGACATAATGAATCACAGTTCTGAACAAATTGTGTATTTTTGAATGTAATTTTACATTACATTCAAAAATTATGGTGATGAAGTTCGCTGCCAAAATCTTGATCCGGCAATAACTGCTTCATCTGAGATAACATTTACAATTCTTATCAATCCAGCAACTTAATTTGCAGCTTCCTAAAATCTCTGCTGCAAAATTGAATCGGATGGAAACGGGAAACAATGAGATGGGGTGACTATTATGATTTTGGATCTAGTACTACATATACTGGATTGTCGTTATTCAGGATGAGATGTCGTTTAGTTGAAAATATTATTCCATTTTTCTTACAATAATTCTTGAAATGAATTGAAAATTTACTTCCAAGCAACAATTATTTGTCTAATAGTTATTTGCTGATTCATAATAAAGAAAATTCTACTCTTCATTTCTAAATAGTAGTACGATGTACAATGAAAAGTACACGTTTTCCTGACCAATCAAATTATGAATAATCTTCGACCTTACCTTTTTTTGGAAGTCAGCATATTTTCACAAACATTAATGATGAGAAACAAAACGTCTTCAGTTACATTTATGTAAGAATGATATTATATCTATAAAAAAGCCATATCATCTACTAAAAACTGTACCTTGTGCATAAACGGTAGCTTCTATGAAATTGTAAAACTGTTCAAAATTCAAATCAATGGCTTATTTGCTCCAGGGCCATATCACACGAGGCTTCTGCTTTTTATGCTATTTGATTTATGAAATTTTGCTTGGGAACAGACAGAGCCGTACAGAGCTGTGCACACAAGAAGGATTCATAAACAACTTTCAGTAGTTTCCAGCCTTCTGCAAACTGTGTGTCAGTCGAGATAGTATTACAACTACCTTCATCAAAGATGGTCTCTTGTTATGATATGATACACTTGGTCCATATCTTCATCCTTTTTTTTGGTTATTTCGTATATGGTTTATGTTAGTGATTTCTAACTTTGGTCCTTGTTTCTTTTATCCTTGATTTAAGAGGATCGGCTCTGACAAAGTTACTTTGCAAAGGTTTCAAAGCCTTTAGATTTTCTTCAATAGGATCAAATATGAATCATTCCTTGATTAATGTGATAGGTTGCGAATAGAAATTACCGCCTTCTGTCGTGAAATAG